GAAGATACTTATGATGTTTTAAATTAAATTACCAAGACAAATCATTATATAAAAATCAATACTACTCATTAGTCATATGTATATATCGCCTAAAGCTAGTATCCTTGTATTAAAATACATATTTGTTAAATGTCCAGTCACTAAGTAAACAATCAATCTATAAAGTTAGTTGCATACTCTTTTTTATTGATCATTAAATGGTAACATTAAACATTGACTTATATTAGAAAGATAATCATGATAATATATATATATATATATATATATATATATATATATATATCATTATTATTATTGTTATTATTCAATATCTTTATTTTAACCAGTTGTTCACTTTTTTGTTGTTGTTCATTCATTAAAATAGGTTAAAGATTGTGGAAACAGAAGAAGTATAAGGGGGAGGGGAATAAGTATACTTAATATTTAATAAGAGATAAGAATAAAGTATCGTCCATGATAATAATAATAATAATAGTAAATGATAAACGAATATTAAAACAAGCTATTTGAATAAAGATATCGGCGAGACTCTAATTTATGGACGAGCCAATTAGAAGCGTTTTAGAGATTTCAAGGTTAAGGCGCCAATTTCAGTGTTGAATGCTAACGTACGATCGGTTCACAGGGAATTTTGTACAAAACGTGACAATTGAGCGGTTATAACAAATAAAACGGCAAGACTATAACTTGTGAACGAATCAATCAGGTATAAGATAACAGATCTCAGATTTCGGCGCGAAAGCGTTTCATGAATTTGGCTAAATAGATTTCTGGCATTATAGCTGATGTCAGTTCGTAATGAAAACCCCATATATAATTCTTAACTAAGGCACCAGTAACACTGGCTGCAGCCAGGTACTACAATATATACGGATGTTTGGAGGGCGTACAGAATCCTACATACGCTTGGTTATGTGCATCGTGTCGTTATCCACAAGTGGCATTTTGTGTACTGAACAAGCGGAGTGCACATAAACAATATTGAAGTAGTAGAGGCTGAAAGAGTTTTTGAGACTTTATCATGGTTCCAGAGGCCGACTATTCTGTAGCCATATGGATGATTTTTTCTGCTGCATGCATTACAATTTTAGAACCTCTGAACCTTTTTCTAACGTTGACAAGTTTTTGAACCACGTATAAGAAGTGCATCTACTTTATTTCCTTGGTTTTGTATAATATATTTTTTCTCCATACTGTTTGCTGATTGGCTAATATTTCTCGAGGTCACTTAAGATTCGTTCAAAGGTTGTCCATAAATTAGAGTCTCGTCAAGATATCTATTAAGCGCTCGCGCACGAGACTGATGGGTCATGGGTTTGAATCTTGTGAGGCAGGATCGTGAATGCGCACTGCTAAGGGAAGTCCGACAGTAGGATGAAACGACCGTCCAGTGCTTTCAGGTTTTCCATAGTGGTCTAGCTTCAATTTTCTCATGATCTTAGCTATTAACATTTTATCTCAATATTATATTAGTACTGTTCATCGGCAGCCTGCCTAAATCTTCGAGCCTCCTATTTCCCAAATAAGCATAAACTCTAATAAACCTTCTTGTCTTAGATTTATTTTAACTAACAAATTATGAATCTTTACTGTCGTGTAGCTAAACACGGAAAAAATAAACCAGATTCTAGATGAAGAGAAAATTAAGGAAAGATACTTGGGGTGGATAGGAGATACATTAAGGAAATCATCAAACTACATCATGAATTAAGCTGTAACTTGGAATCCTGAAAGAAAAAGGAAGAGAGGAAGACCAAGAAACGCATTGCTCCTGGATGTTGATGCAGACATGAAAGGGACAAACGGCAAGTAGAAAGAACTGAAAAGGATTGCCCAGGATAGAGTTGGATTTAGAATACTGGAGGGCGGCCCATGCTTCTCCACGAAGGGTAGGAGACGTAAGTAAGTGAGTAAGATACTGAGAATTCCGTGACATAACAAAATTTATGATACTGAATAAAGCTATTATTATTATTATTATTGATCAGATCAGCTGACCTAACTTACATTAAGTCCCACATGTAACATTGACTTTTTTTACTGTATGGCTTAATTTCATTACAAGAATACTTATTATGTGTTTACAGTTTAACTATCAAACGATAGGTATTGATTCACCTGAGTTCTGAGTGTTGACTGAAATCTTTTGACGAAAGAACAGAATGGATTATTAAACTAGCAAGCTGACATTTTGATGTAATATTGCCAAGAGTTGGTTATCCGGAATAGTGTTTGTATATCCAAGTAGGAAATAACATATCAGTTTGCTTGGATAAACTTATGATATCACAGAGATCTTAATCTTCATCTTAGAATGTCCAAATGAAACCTGATACCAAAATATTTGAACCCTTTAATGAATGAATTTTAAATATAGTTCCATACTCATGCGGATCATTTTTGATTTGAATGCCTTCATGATAATCTTCTGATTAGGGTGGATCAAATCCATATAGATGCATCAGTTCTTTTTAGAGATTGAAAATGTCCCCATTCTAAAAAGTTTTCGTAGTTGGTATTTTCATCACTATGTTCATTTGTGTAAGTTGTTTGATTGATTTTCACCATTAATCATTTATTTTTAAAAAGGGGAAAATTTATTAATTTCCCTAGAGACAACTATAGACTAGTTCAACTCTCGATTTGTTATTGTAGGTACATTAGATTTATGTACATGTTGAGGGTGTCGGATATAAAATTTTCTGATTCATAGTCGTATGAAACAACTAGTATGATACTTCTTTAAAAAGTATAATTTTATTATCATTATAACTAAACTATGGAGTCACGACTATGTGAATACAACGAATGACTTCTTTAGGTGGGATTATAATAGGTTGATGAACCATTCAGATTTATAACGAAGGCATTTGAATTTTTACGTGAATTTCATGTATCCATATGGCTAGATAGCATTTTTACATTAAAATTAATATCACTTCGGGATGACAACTCCAACACTAATCCGTGACTCTAACTCTTGATCCCTGGTTCTTAAAGTAATTTACAGACCTATTTTGACACTAATAAGTGGTTAAAAATTTCTCAAGATCACTTTAGTATGTTCTAGAAGTTGTTCATCTATCATAGATTCAATATACTTTATGCTGAAACCCATGAAAACTGGCCTTCATCAAGTTTGTTGACCTAGTGTCATATGAAATTCCTTGATAAGATAATTAAATATGAAGTGATTCAAGTTTTCCGATAATCCATTGGCTGCATTACAATTGAATCGGTTAAATAATGTAAAAATTTAGAAGACCCTCGATCATCAGTGATAAAAAATTTATAAAATAAAAAGATTATTGTAGATGGGAGAGTATAACTGAATTTGATTGAGATTTGTTCTCTAAGATGGATAGTTTGATTATGGAGTTTATGAAGTTTGTACTGATAATCTCGTTCGGAAGAACCATGAAAGCTTCACGACCAAACCATTCAGCTTAGAAAACAAAACTCCATCAAAATCATTCACCTGAACTACAAATCTTCTCTCTTACACACTAAAATAAAACAATCATTCAATGTCAAGAACCCATATCATTCAAGTTTATCAAATATATTTTACCTATAATCATTATTACAGTTTCTTCTTCAGTATAGGGTTGTGGAGATTATTAAATTTTTGATTGAGATCATGAACCGATTGATGTCAGACCACCATTGAAAACCTGGAAGCATTGGACGGCCGTTTCATCCTATTGTGAGACTCCTCAGCAGTGCGCATCCAACATCTCACTCGTGGGACTGGAACCCAGGGCCTTCAGTCTCGCGCAAAACCTCCTAACGTTTAAACCACTGAGTCGGCATCTAACGGTGTTAATGTCTAACTTCAACCAATCCACGAAACTGCACGACCAATCTTCCATTGTACTGAGGTAGATACCTGTCTCTACCCAACACCGATTAGCTCCATTGGTCACAACTTCTCACTAGAACTCCAAGAATTATCTCACGAAGCTAGTTATTAGTGGGCTCAATTTAATTATCAATATGGGTTTGTGAAGATTATTAAGTTTTTTGATCGAGTGCTTACTGTCAAGAAGGAGTCCCACAATAGAACGAAACGGCCATTAAATACTTCCAAGTTTTCTAATAATGATCTAACATTAATCCATTCATGATCTCATTCAACATCTTCTCCTCTTCTTCTTCGACTTCACTTTTCATACATATAACTGAAAATAACGTCATCACAAATAAATAACACCAACAATATCATTATTCTATAATGTTTATTTTTACTTTTAACATATAATATGCATTACATTGTCAATGACCTTGAAAATAAAATTCAAACAATAAAACATATTCCTCTTCTTTTTTTTTCTCATTAATTTCAAACAATTAAATGTGTAAATATTTTGTTTTTTAGAAAAAAAACAAACAAACAAAAAAACCAAAAGAAAAATGGATCAACTTTTCAATCCGTATAATAATCCATTCATCATGTTACTCTTTTGTAAATAGGAAAGAATAAAATGTATATAGATAATTTAGTTCCATAGTAATAATAATAATAATAATAATAATAATAGTAATAATAATGATTATTATTATTATTAATATTACATATAACATTGAATTAACTGAGTATCTGTACAATATATTGATTATTGATTATTATGTTGATTACATAATCTCTCTATTTTACAATAAATAATAAACTATTGAATTCATTAATTAGATTAATGAATTCAATAAATACCTGAAAGTAATAAGTTCCCAATTGTAATATATATATGTATACTGTATACTGTATGGAATAATAATAGTATTAATGATAATAATAATAATAATAACAGTAATGATAGTAATGGTAATAGTAAAAGGTATTGTTATTATTATTATCATTATTATTATAAAATGTAATGACAAGTTGTAAGATAAACCGATTATATTAATGTTCAAAATAGTAATAATATACTAATTCCATTGAAATATGACATAATCAATGAATCAATAAAAAGAATAGAATAAATCAGATATATTATAGAAGAAGAAGAAGAGGAGGAAGAAGAGGAAGAAGTAGAACAATTAGAAAGAAGAACAAATAAAAGAGAAGATTAGATTGAATAAAAGCGAATGAATGAATGAATATTATTACCATTAATTATTATTGTTATTATGATTAGAATTATTGAGCAAGTGTAAAAAATAATCTGGATAAAATGATGTTATTATTGATTTGTTTTTTCGAAAGTTTTCTTTTTTCTTTCTTTTTCTTTTCTTTTCTTCTCTTTTTTATTTTAATCAATAAATTTGAAGATTCAATAGATGAGAATATTTTGTTTACAGTTTTCTTGTTTTTTTTGTATTATGTTATAATAAAAGATTTTTGACTTTGAGAGGATTGTTGTTGTTGTTGTTGCTGTTTGTGAATGGAATATTCTTAGAAATTCTATAAAGTGTAGAAAGATATATATATATATATATATATATAGAGAGAGAGAGAGAGAGAAAAGAAAGTCAATATGAGAATAGAAAACACTGAATGTAAAAAAATGTATTTAAAATAACACTCAATGAACATCAACTTTGGGATGCATGTATATCTAGTTGATGTGTCCCGAATAGGACGAAACGCGAGTCAAACGGGATTCCATTGTTAGCCACTATACATCTTTGCTTAAGGCTATATTGAGGCAATCCACACAGGATGTACATATGTCAACAAGAGACTGATCAATTGCAGTCCTAAATAACAATGTGAAGATACAAGTAAAACAACACCAAACGATTGTCAACTTCAACCCATTGTACAGGCTACTGACTATCAGGACTCAGTAGCCAAGTGGAGAACGCGATGGTGTTTGAAGTAAACGGTACTGGGTTCAAGTCCCGGACTGACTATCAACTCTGGGATGCAGATGCATCCAGTTGACGAGTGCCAAATAGGACGAAACGCGCGTCAAACTGGATTCCACTTCTAGGCATTATCCATCTTTGCTTAACAAGTAATAATTGGTGAATTTAATACGATGCTACATTTGATCGTAATGGTTTGTACTGGAATGCAAAGTGTATTTGGAAAAAATACTTGTTTTAGCTTTAGTATTTTCTAAAATGTTTCATTTGTTCATTCATTTAGCATATCCAGATTTGCGAAAATGGTTATTAATACTATCCGACTCTCTAAACTGAAGACCGCTCAAATAAAAAAGTGAGTCTAGGTATAAAAACCAACTTGATCGATGATATATGATCAGCATTAAAAAGAACTTGATGCATATGATATTAGTTACTACTCAGTGATTGATCATTTGTAAATACATCTTAGTTCTATAGAAGGTCATTCGCGATTGCGTTAGTTCAATCATAACATTTCTGATTAGGAAGTTGAGTGAAACTGTATGGAATACCTCAGAGAGCATCAGTCTTCACAGGTTTACATTTACGCCTTATTGAAAAGTGGCGAATAGCACAAAACCTAGGTCCAGGGTTCCTTTAACCATTAACAGTAACAATTTAATCATTCATCTGTTGTATAGGAATTATGTCAACAGAAATAGTCATCAGTTTTCAAATGACTAAAATTCTCATTCATAGATTTCTACCATAGATAAGTAAAATTCTTTCTTGAAATATTTCTTTAATTTCACAATTGATCAAAGCGGCACAGTGATTAAATTCTTTTTGAATAGACCTTTCTCCACCAATTTAGATCATTTAAAAGTAGCATTAAAAGATAATGATCAGAATTCATTTATCTAATCTATTTCTACCATCCCAATGTATATTATGATGAATCCATATCTTAAACTCATTCAATAGTATAACGAAATACCTATCCATTTCTCCTCCTTGACTAATATTAATCTGACATATATGTTTTACATACAGAATAAAATAATTTCTATATAATTTCTTAGCAAAAATTGTGATAACTGAAGCCGAATGATTTAATTGCCAACAAATAACTAAGTGACCAGTGGAGTTCAACCAGGTTTGTTGTGAGATACCAACTCACTAAAGACAATTGTAACGATGGCGCAATTTCGTGTATTAGTTAAAGTTAGACATTAACACCTTTGGATGCTAGCCGGCTCAGTAGTCTAATGGTTAGCCACTCGTGTGCGAGACTGATAGGTCCTAGGTTTGAATCTCGCGGGAGGCGGAATCATGGATGCGCACTGCTGAGGAGTCCCATACTGGAACGACACAGCCGTCTCTTCTTAGTGCTTCCAGGTTTTTCATGGTGGTCTAGCTTCAAATGACTCATGATTTCAACTATTGAAATAAATGAGTTCCCGTTTTTCACAGAAGTAACATCAAAATGTGAAATGTGTAAGAATATTCGACATGTCCTTTAGTTTTATAAGAATGACTGAATGAATTACAGTTTATGACAAACAAGAAGATTCCAGTTTTTAGATAGATTTTTATGTACAATACATAGATACTTGCTTAACTGATAACTATTATATAATGGATAACACTATTTATTTTCATTCATACTATTTAGTTAACATTTTTAGTAGGAATATTTTAAAAGACTATTCTGCATTTCAATAGTTGAATTCATGATTCGATTAAGGCTAGACCACCTTAGAAAATCTGCAAGCATTGGATGGCTGTTCGTCCTACTATGAAACTACTCAGCAGGGAGCATTCACGATTCCGAACAAAAAGAATTCGTATCTAGGACCTTTGCTTACGCGTGCGAATGCTTAGCCTCCAGACCACTGGGCCAGTATCTAACGGTGTTAATATCTAACTTTAATCAATCCACGAAATCGCGTGTTCATCTTCCATTGTACTGAGGTAGATACTTATCTCCACCTGACACGGATTAGCTTCACTGGTCGCGGTTAAGGTTAAGTGACAGATTTAAAGAGTGTAAAGGGAGAAGATGCAACAAAATGTTCACTTATCTGAAAACGAATGTTAATAATAAGTTCAAATCACAATTTGTTTTAATGATATTTGAAATCTCTCAGAATATTTGATGTTTCACGTTACTAGAAAATTTCTGAAATGTAATTGTTTCTTCTATCATAGGAAAATTCTTTTAACAGGTAAGCTCTTTGAATATTGATTAACAAGTTGGAACTTCTCAGTGGTCTAGTGGTTAAGCGCTTGAGCGCGAGACCGATAGGTCCTGGGTTCGAATCTCGCGGGAGGCGAGATCGTGGATACGCATTCCTGAGGAGTCCCACAAGAGGATGAAACGGCCGTCCATTGCTTCCGGGTTTTACATGGTGGTCCAGCTTCAAGTGACTCATAATCTCAACCATTGTAAGAACAAAACTGTTGATATTACTGAAACTTTGAAAGAATTCCCTTGAAAAGTTCCAATTCAGAATGTCACAAATGTTCACTATTCCTCAATTTCTTTAGTTCGTGATATAAATTATGGGCGAGACTCTAATTTAGGGACGACCTTTGAACAAATTTTAAGTGACCCTGAGAATATTAGCTAATCAGAAGACAGCTAGTATAACGTAGAAATATATTAGAAGAAACTAATGGATTACAGTGAATATACTTCTTTTACATGATTTAAAAACTTATCAAGGTTTGCTAAAGTTTCAGATGTTTTGAAATCATATTGCATACGGCATAAAAAGTCATAAATTCCAAGTATCTGTCGAGTATATTTACGGAAATGCTACTTACATAATCCTACTTTATACTACGTCCCCTGTTGTATTTTCGCTTTCTCACTGCCGTTTCATCTGTCTGCGCGATACATCCTACTCCTCCGAATGATTGGTGTACAAGTGTTATTTTAGTTGCACGGCAGTCCAGTGGCCACTGGACTGATGAAGTTTCATAAACAACTGCAAACGCCGCAGCCAGTGTTACTGGTGTATTTATTACCCAATTTGCAACTATTATCATAATCTGATTTAGTTTCAGTAGCAATCAAGCAAAGAAAGTCCCCGTTCTAGCAGACTTTCTCCTCCAACATGAAGGACAACGAAATATAATCTCACCACGGTGGTTTGCACACTTTACTGCGGTCATTTGATAACCGCAGTCTCACGTACAAGAACTTTTTAGTAATCCTATCCCTTGTAGCCTCTCAATAATCACCCCTTCTCTAAAATCCGCTGTAAATCGATCATATGTGAGCATCAGGTATTAAACTTGGCTCCGTGACCTTGAGACGGCTCAAACGCTTCTGATTGACTCGTCCTTAAATTAGAGTCTCGCCAAATTATGTTTATGCAGAAAAAAAACTGAAGCCTAACTACTCAAAGAATTAAGAAGAAGTTAGCCAATAACTCATCAATAACATTCTAAACTATAATAGAATTGAAAATGTAGATCACTGAATTTCAAATAGACTTCACAATCGTCATTGTCGACGGATTAGATTCATTATACATTTGTCAAATGTCATAAACAATTAATTATGATGCTTGAATATCTGGGCTACCTGTTTCTCTCATCTAGATATTTCGTCAAGTTATGTTTTCTTGTTTGTTTCAACACATTATTATGTCTATTGAGTCCACAACCTATTCAGGCGCGTTTACGAAAAGTTTACAACCTTTCGCTGAACGGATTACAAAAAGGTACAACCAGCGACATCATGGTGGCTTGCAATATGCATTGAAACGAATGAACATTATTCAGTTGTCGATAACCGAACTCCTAACATCTAACTGGCCACCACTCAATATTTATCGATAGAATCGATCAAGATATAAGAAAAGGAAACTTTTTGAAATACTTTGTGCTGAGAATTCTATCTTGTACCAAAAATATAATGTTGAATAAAGCTTATAATAATAATATTATATTTCTGATGTTGAACTTTAACAAAACGATTTCTATAACATTTACTTATTAAACAAATCACGGTTTCGATCATTAATAGAGTATAAATTTGAGAAGGGTTTTTGTGGATATTATAGTAACTTCGTGGTCGAATTCGTGATTCAATTGAAGCTAGACCACCGTGGATAATGTGAAAGAACTGGAAAGCATTTTCGTTCTAGTGTAAGACTCCTCAGCAGTGCGCATCCACGACCTCGCCTTCTGCGAGATTCGAACCCAGGACCTATCAGTTTTGATTGGTTGAAGTTATACAGTTACATCGCCGGATGCCAGTTTAGTGGTCTAGAGGTTAAGTGATTGAGCGTTAGACTGACAGGTCCTGGATTCAAATCTCGCAAGGCGGAATCGTGGATGCACACTGCCGAGGAGTCCCATACTAGGACGAAACGACCTTCCAGTTGTTCCAGGTTTTCTATAGTAGTATAAATCTATTCTCGTATTTTTGCATTAATTCACTGAATAACTGAACTATAAGTAAGATTCCATTAAAGAGGAAGAATGCAATTGAAGAATATCAGCGAATGAGATATTTCACATCAATTTGGTGCTCAAATACTATGAAACTATTCAATCAAATTAAGACCAAAGTTCTTATAGAAATATTTGGTTAATTCAAACAACTGAAACGTAAATTTATAGGATACTTTCCAAAGATTAAAATTCTTGATCTGAACTCTTTTAGATTGATGAATGTGAACTTATAATGGAATAGATCAACTATTCAGTATTTTCATTCATTTAGTCAGTTATGTCAATCGTACAATTCCAAAGTTTTTGATTGAGATCATGAACCGATTGATGTTAGACCACCATTGAAAACCTGGAAGCATTAGATGGCCGTTTCGTTCTATTGTGTGACTCCTCAGTAGTGTGCATCCACGGTCTCGCTCGCGGGATTCCAATCCAGGGCCTTCAGTCTCGTGCGTGGACGATTAACCTACTGGACCACTGAGCTGGCATCCAATGATGTTAGTGTCTAACCTCAACCAATCCATGAAATTGCGCGAAAATCTTCCATTGCACTGAGGTAAATATCGGTCTCTACCTGGCACGGATTAGCTCTACTGGTCACGGCTTCTCACTAAAACTCCGAGAATTCCTTCACGAAACTAGTCACTAGTGAGCACATGGTAATTATCAGTAAAGGGGTTGTGGATATCATGACGAAACAGCCGTCCAGTGCTTCCAGGTTTCCAACGGTGGTCTAACATCAATCGGTTCATGATCTCAATCAAAAACTTAATAATCTCCACAACCCCTATACTGATAATTTCAAAGTTGAAACCATATAAGAAGTAGGGGGTTATTTGTGTATAAACATGTTAATAATGATAATTTCAACTTACCATGAATATTTTGCTCATCTCTCTCTTACACACACACACTCTCGCTCTTTAAGGATATTGAAATGTCTCACCTACCATTGATAGATATTGATGAAGATCTTAATTTATCAAATACAGATATATCTGTTTTTGTAGCATATTGTAATAAGGTATTTGTTGTATTTGTTATATCCAAATCAGGATTTTGAAAATGCATTAAATGATCTATAGAAAATGGTTTATTTAGATTGTCAGAACGATTTATTACTTCTTCATCATTAACATTATCATCATCACCAACATCATCATCATCGTCTTCATTGTCATCATCATCTTCATTGTCATCGCCGTCATCATCATCATCATCAACGTCACCATTATCATCAATCATTTTGTTATTGATATTATCTTCAGCGTCAATTTTTCTATTGTTACATTCTTTAGAGTGTTCATTAGTTAAATGACTATTATTGGGACATTGAATAGTTAAATGATCATGATGATGTTCAATATCTTTGTTATCTTTACTAAATCTTATTAAGTTATCTTTATATTCTGTTAAATGTAAATAATTTGTATTCCATGTATTTGATTCTAATATACCTGAAGGAAAATTTCGAAATGATTCAGATGTTGTAATATATGAAGGATTAGTGAATATCATTGCTGTTGACAATAATGATGAAGATGTTGTGGAAGGGAAAGAATTAGATGAAATAATTCCAGTTGGAATACTTAACAATGATGATGATGATGATGACACAGAACTGGTTAAAGAAGATGGTATATACGAAGATGTTATCATTGATAATGAAACCGTTGGCGTTAGTACATGTGAAGCGTTGATTATATTAGATAAATTATGTACATTCATTGAGTTAGTAAACGATACTTCACTACATGAAATATATGGACTTTCATCCGTCAATGATATATGTTCATAGTTATGACTTAAATATGGTGATATTATTGTTGATGTTGTTAATGTTGTTGCTGTTGTTGTCGTCACCGTTGTCATAGATGGTATTATTGTAACATTTGATTTTGGTAACATGGATTGTTGAATATTCGAATAGTCATTGTAATGATATTGTTGTTGTTGTTGTTGTTGTTGTTGTGTACGATAATCATGTTCTAATTCAAATTGTTTTTCACCTTGTTGACAGTTATGATTCATAGTATAATACTTTTCTCCTGATGGTATCAAAGTTAAATTCTCCATAATGACATCATCATAATTATCATTATTAGTAGGTTTATTACTACTATCAGTAATGTTAGTAGTAGTCGTAGTAGTTGTGGTAGTAGTATTCATAGAGATAGTAGTAATCAAATCATTATTTAATATATTTGTAATATTTGTACATTTCATTGGATTATTCATTGTATTATACCGACGTATACTAAAATCAATATTATCATCATAATATAATTCAGTTGGTAAATTTACTTGGGAATTATGATGTAATGTAGTTGGCAAAGGTTGTGATAAATGAAATGAATTCAATGGAAATTGTTGATTCAATTGATTATTACGTAATTCATTTGTTGAATATTCTATTAATGAATTAGTTCTAGTATATACTGATGGTGAATTAGTAACATGATTATATAAATCTAACATATTTGTATGTATACTACGGATTTGATTGGTACAAGTAGTAGTAGTAGTACTACTACTAATAGTAGTAGTAGTAGTCGTAGTGCAAGTAGATAATTGTTGTTTATTATAATTGGTTTTATTTGAATTATTATCAAATGGTTGAATAGAATGAAGATGAGGATGAGGATGATTATGAAATGGTTGATGAAGTTTATAATTAACAAAAGGATTCATTTGTTCATAATTACTTTCTGGATAAATGATATCTGTAATGTATCTTGTTGAATCACGACTATCATAAGGACTTAAAAGAAATAATTGTGATGATTTTAATTTATTTGTTGATTTCTCATGAATGTCTTCAATTATATCAGTTGTAATCTTAGTTTCATTATGTTTTACATGGTGTCTAGATTTTGGAGAGATCGATTGCTGATTATGATGATGTTGTTGTTGTTGAGAATTGTAGTATTGGTGTTGTTGTTCCATTATTGAATGATCTGCTAGTTTATTATTATTCATTAAATCAGATCCAATAAAATTGTTATCTTTACTGTTTGTTGTCCTACTGTGATCACTTTGCTGTTGTTGTTGTCGTCGGGCTCCTTCATTATCACCATAGACACCATCATCATATTCTTCTTCATTGATTTCTTCATCCTCTAAGTCAGCACCAACATCATCATTATCCTCACCATCACTGTCATCATCATCATCATCATCGTCATCTTCATCTCCACCATCGTCATTATCATCCACGTCATTTATTTCATCATACACTGGTGTAATACCAATAGGAAGTGATTTCATCCTATTATACAATATATGATCATTGAGTTCAACATTCAATAATGGATTACAATCTGTTTTTGAATATGTACGTTTTATACCAGTTGGTAATATTAAAAGATCATTGGTTGAATGTAAAATAGTATTTTCACTAGTAGAATTAACATCTATTGTATTTCTATTGTCAGTTGATGTTGTCGAAGATGTTATAACATTAATAGTATTACTAGCACTATTATTATTATTACTTCGTTGATTACGATGAGTTATTTCACGTTTTGGATCTTTAAAACGTTTTTGCCTTCTTAAATAACAACCATTTTCAAACATATTCCCAGAATCTGGATGTAATGTCCAATATGAACCTTTACCTGGTTTATCTGGACTACGTGATACTTTAACAAAACAATCATTAAATGATAATGAATGTCTTATTGAATTTTGCCATCTTTGTTGATTTTGTCGATAATATGGAAATAAATCAATAATAAATTGATAAATTTCTGATAATGTACACATATGTGTTGTTGAATTTTGTATTGCCATAGTAATTAAACTAATATATGAATAGGGTGGTTTTGGGTGACATGATTGTTTAGATAAATTTGATGAATTTTGTAAAAAATTTGAATGATTATTTAATTGTTGTAATTGTTGTTGATGTTGATATATTATAGCTGGTACCGGTAATGGAACATTAGATCCTTTCGATGATGATGATGATGATGATGATGATGCTGAAGATGAAGTTGATGGTGATGATGTAATAGATAATGATGATGATATAATTTGTTTTTTTAAATTCATTTCATTTTGATTATTTTGTAATTGATGAGATTGTTCATTAGGAGTTAATTGTATATAATCTGTAGTTGATGATGTACGATATTGTTGTTGAAATTGTGTATAATGATGTTGATTATAAGGGAAATGATGATGATGATGTGGTGGTGGAGGATGAGGTGGAGGAGGAATTTCCGAATTGAAATATTCTGTACATAATTGTGAATTATTAAATAATTTCGTTGAATATGTTGGTAAAAATGTTAAATTTTCTGATAAACATACTGAATACTCATGATCTTGACATAATTTACTACTACTACCACTACTACTATTACTACTACTACTTGTAGTAATAGTATTGATAGATTGATGATATGTTTCATCTATCGATATAATTGGATTATTTAAAGTTTCTGTAAAATAACGATGAATTTGATTTGAATCATTTTTCTCATTTGTATTTAATGTTACTTTAGATGTTATGGTAGATAAAGTTAATGGTGATAATGTTTCAACTAAACTAAGAGGATTATCATAAGATTGAATAAAATCAATTTTTCTATTCATTGATTTATGTTGAGATTGATTAGTATCCAAGTGTTGTTGTTCTTGTTGTTCTTGTTGTTGTTGTTGCTGATGATGATGATGTTGATGTTGATGATGTGAAGATTGATCAGATTGTGAATTCATTTTATCAACTAATTCATTATATTCTCCAATATTTGACCATAATTCATTTGTTGTTAAATTATTATTATTATTATTATACCAAATTGGTGAAGAAGTAGAAGAAGAATGATATGTTTGTTTATCATAATGTATTATTCCATTAGATACTGTTGTATTAATAATACATGAAGATGGAATTGTTAATGAAGAACATGATGTTAATGTTAATGTTGATGCATGTGTACAATAATTTGATGATAAATTTGAATAACATGTTATATTATCATTTAAATAAAGAAAATTTAATGGATCTGATTGATAAGTTGAATAATTTACTGGATGTATATCAATATCAGTTGTTGAATTGTTTCGTTTTGTAAGGATACAATTAATTGGATTAGATCCTTTCATATCATCATTATTATTATTACTATCATTTGAAAGGTTAGTTGTTATTATACACTGTTCACCATTCATTTACTTGTTTTAGCTTGAAGAGAATTGCGGTGATTATATAATTTGAAAATTCTTAATTTTAGCTTAGGAACTATTCAAAAAAAGAACACATTCTGTTTAGCGTAAACAGAAAAAAAAACAAAGAAACAATCCATTTACACGTAATGAAACAAACGTCTTTGAATCTTCTTTTATAACTGTAGTGGATTCTAGTGATATGGTATAAAAATCCGAAACTTGACACTAACTATACTGTTACACTGAAAATACTTACTAAGGAGAATATCAATGTCACAATAAGTTAGCTTTGATGGAGTTAGAGAGAGAGAAAAAAGAATTCTACATTGATATTTTTAATTCATAACTCATAGAAAACATGGTTATGTACGACACATATACATATACACCTACGCTTATCTATTTACGTCAAACATAACCAAACTATCAATATATATGTCTCATTAGTAGTAAATTGTATGTATGTCTTGAGTAGAGTAGAGTAGAGTAGAGTAGAGTATTTACATTATTCATTTAACCACAAAACATTTTCTCCGAATGAAAGTAGACAAAACAACAACAACAACAATAGCAATGACAACAATCAGTTTAATTGGTTAAATCTAAATCTATCTATTCAATTCTAACCGTTTAGTCTCTATTCATTTTCCATTTGGAATAAACACATCTCACCTACTTCTTCTCTTCTTCTCTCTTTTTCTCTTTCTTTTTTTACCTACCTACCTAACAATGAGAATAATGAATAATGTTTGCCATGTAAGATTCGCGAATATTTTTGATTGGTTAATTAAATAAAATCTATAAGCGATTTATTCTAATTTTTGATTGGTTATTTTAATTTGAGTAGAAGAATTAGAAGGTGTGTAATGAATAAAATCAATTTATTTAATTTTTGTTGGTCAACTTCTATTATTAATGTTAATATTTCAATAGTTGAGATCATGAGTCAATTGAAGCTAAATCATCATGGAATACCTAGAAGCACTGGACGACCATTTTGTCTTGTTGTGAGACACCTCAACAGTGTGTATCTACGATCCCGTCTTATGAGATTTAAACCCAGAACCTAACAGCCTCGTTCAATGTCTCTCAGTGTGGCTTAATTTGGTGGATTGGTTGAAGTTAGACATTAACAGCGTTAGATGACGGCCGGCTCAGTGGTCTGGTGATTAAGCGCTCGCGCGTGAAACCGATAGGTCCTGCGTTTGAATCTCGTGAGGCGGGATCGTGAATGCGCACTGTTGAGGAGTCCAGTGATGGAACGAAACGGCCGTCCAGTGTTTCCACGTTTTCTATGGTGGTCTAGCTTCAATTGACTCATGATCTCAACCATTGAAACTACTATGATATCCACAAAACCTTTCTGATATGAATGTTAATATTATTAATAATTTCTCAAGTTGACTGTTCTAGTTAAAAAAAGGGCATTAATAACAGCTTACTATTTAAAAAAATTAAGATCATGAACCAATTAATGTTAGACCACCATTGAAAACTTGGAAGAACTAGGTGTCCGTTTCATTCTTTTATGGGACTCCTCAGAAGTGCACATCTATGATTCGGTACCAAAGTGGCTCAAATCTGGGACCTATCGGTTTTGCGCTCGAATGTTTAATCTCTAGACCATTGAGCCGTCATCCAATGGTGTTAGTGTCTAACTTTAACCGATCCATGATATTGAACGACCGTACACTATTGTCGTTAGTGAGTTACTGACTCACAACAGACACGGTTAAACTCCACTAGTCACTACTTCTCACTAGAACCATAGAAAATCCATCTTGAAACTAGTCACTAAAGAGGTTATGATAATTATCAATATAGGATTGTGGAGATTGTTGGTTTTTTCTTAAGATAATTGTTTAAGCAAAATAAATTAAATAATAATTTAAAATAGTATTTTGTTGAAATTTAAACCTTCCGTAAGAAACTGATATCACTGAGACAATCAATCAGTGAACTGTTGAAGCCATAAAACAGTTTATAATCATAACTATAAAGATAAAATTAATTCATTTGTATTGGTTGTGCAAATCTTTCCATTGATGCTTACGAACGTAAGTGATCAGCCTTATTTGGCATATGCCCATTCTGTGAGGACTGTCTCAATATTGCCGTTAATTCACAAGCATTATAGTCAGAGATGGATGTTGGCTAGCAGTGGAATCCAGGACATGTGTTTCGTTCTATTCAGGACTCGTCAGCTTGGTGTACCAACATTCCGGAAACTCATTAATCTCAGTTCTAAATAGCGATGGGAAAATCCAAATGATCAATTAGTTTGGATTTAAATTTACTTCACTATGCAACTCAGTGGTCATCTGGACTTATTAGTTAAATGGATAATGAGATAGTATGTGAAGCGAAAGGTAAAAAGTTCGAATTCCAGAGTCAACATTAACTCTGAAATGTAGAGGATTCCAGGAGACGAGTTTTGAACAAGATGAAACTCTTATCTTGAATTTTCCTGCTAGCTACTATTAATCTTTGAGTCACAATAGATATATTAGTGAATGATGTATGTTAAACTGAACGTTTTAATCATAAGTTACTGAAGATTTAATAAGAATACTAATCGTACTGTTCAAAAAACCAGAGAATAAGTATTATGCTTATATTTTGGAAATGTCAGTTACTGAGAATACAATGACCAGATCGAGTGTAAGTTACCACATCATACTAAAGTTTTTCCATTTACAGCAAACATGTAGCTTGATTTATGTTTAAGAAAGGAAAGATGTGAGTAATCTCCTAAAGACTTTTCAAAGTAACTGTCGTAAACCAGAATTCATTTCTAATATGACCTGGGATTTTTATTTACCTTATGACTTTCACCTACTCAGTTAATTTTCAGTATAGTGTTGTGAAGATTGTTGAACTTCATTGAAATAAAGAACTGATCCTAGTTAGACAACTATTGAAAGCCTGGAGCTATTGGTCAGCCATTTTCATCCTGTTGTTATACAATTCAGAGGTGCTCGCTCACTCACTCACTCACAAACCAACCACCAAAGGCCGAACCCAGAACGATCCACCTCGCTTACGAAGGCTTGACCTCTGGGCCACTAAGCTAGGATACTAGGTTCGATGCCTGGTGGTCGTGAAGGCGCATTGCTGAGGAGTCCCGTACTAGGATGAAACAGCCAGCCAGTATTTTTGGTTTCTAATGATTATCTAACTTAAATCGCTTTGCGATTTCAACTAGCTCATTTTGTTTTAGGATTTTGCTAACGATCACTTCTATCCTACTATATATGACTAGATTTTCTATACCTTACTGTGACACATTTGAAGAAAATGTTAGTGTCTATCAGTTTGTATAACTTATTTTAATTGAAATCATAAACTATTCAATGTCAGACCACTATTAAAGATCTAGAAGTACTGAGCGGCTCTTTCGTCTTAGTTTAAAACTCTTCAGCAGTGTACATCCATGAAATTCTCCTTTGACTTTCTATTCCTTATCAATCTTTCAATTCAACTTTATTAACTAAAAAATATATATATATATATTAAATCTTTGTTTCTAAAAACAGTAATCCTTATAAATTCAATGTGTTTACAATTAATGAATAGTTTTTTCGAAATCGAATTCATTTGATTACATAATTATTCTTGTTTACATTCTGTCGAAATAATGTTAATGTTTATAGATCATTCTTAACCCTAGATGATAGAATGATAATTACTAATTCATGATTGTTTGTCTTATTCAAATATAAGTCCATTAAAAAGAATAGTGAAGTGTATTGTTTCTTGTCTCAATAAAAACTATGGGGGGGGGTCATTAATCGATTTCAATGGGTTGTTTTATACCTATATATATGATGACTTTAGGGGGTTTTGAAGAAAACTATCAATGATTCTATGAAATATGTATTTTATAACAAATATGAAGAGATCTGTTATTAGGGACTATTGTTAATGGGGAAAATTAAAGATTATTGAATCATTATTTTGTCCCAATTCACATTGGTTAATACAACCAGGATGAGGAAATGTAACTGTATCCATTGAATGAATTAGAACTCAACGGGTCAATAGTTTCCAGTTATAGTACCATCTATCATTTAATATAATCGATAGATAAGCAACATCTTACACCTGAATTGAATTTTTTCCAATTTTCATAGATTCATATTACCATATGTTGAGACTTTTCTACAGTGTATAATAAAATCAAGCGTACATGGTAGTTTATTTCAGGTAATTAAGATATTGAATAAAATCATCAGTTTCCAATAAATGAAACTCTTAATTTATACAGTACCTCTTTCTGTTAATCATCGATCAAAATAAAGAATACTGATTTATATAACTAAAATTTATTTTACTTATTTAAACACATAAATATTGGTACAAGGAGGCACCAAATAGATATGCGCCACATAATTCATACGATTTGTGTGACGGCTGAGATACTGCCTGGATGCCCAAACCAAAGCACGTGGTTTTCTTAGAGGGCCACACCTAGAGCCTTCAACCTTAAAGATTTGATCCACAAGACAGCGGAACAACGTGAGGAGATGCGGTCTCATGGTAGCCGGTGACCAACAATAGGTTCATACGCCAATTTTTCCGTCAGGATACTGGAGTCTATGTACACCATTAATTTGGAATAAGGGTTTTCCAACTCCTCTAGGTGGACTTTCCGTATCCACCAACCCGGCTAGAGCACCGGACCTCCGCTTTTCTTCCTCTCAATTTCGTAAAAACACCCCCGTCAGCGAGAAGGCACTGGGTAGGACTTCCCTGTCAGTGATTGTATTCATGTGGCCATGTGAAAGTATTTTGAGAGGGAGAGCTGACTCTCCACACTTTTTGCCTTACCAGGGCATTTGGGGGCATACAACAAAGACGTGAAACAGTTTACAATCGGTTAGAAGATATGCTACAAATCATTAGATTTATTTAAATGATATAGCAAAAATGTTTGTTAAGTGACAACAGTTATTCACAACTTCTTAAATGAAAATTATTTAAGAACACTGTTATTATGAAGCATATTTCATATTGTAATTGTTAAACTGAAGTATGGTAAAAGAATGACACTAATGATGATCATAGTAAATATTGATGTTTTGTGTGTTTTTAGATGTATACTGTTACCATAAGCAATACATTGTAGCCTAGTCGAAATGAAGTTACTTGTTTTTATAATCTCAGTAGAAA